AGACAACCAACCTTTGCTTAGTGTGACATATGGGAGAGGTTTCATCATTTTTGAAATATCTTGTTGAGAATAAATAGAAGGTTTGCCGACATCACCACTTCCTTTAAACCATCCAACAATTTCCTGCAAAACGACCAAAGTTCTAGCATATCCTTGCTTTTTCAAAATTATTTTTAAACAACATTATTTTTATTAACTTATGCTATTATTTATATTTGATATATTTAACTTTTCAGAAATATTTCCAAGAAAGTTGAACCTTACATTGTGTCGAAATTGCATCATTTCAGCGAGAAAACCCTAAAGCTAGAAGTAATTATCTCTAAAATTCACCTGATCAGCTGTGGTGAAGAAAAGTTGTGCCCAGGTGAAGAACGGGAATCCGGCTCCTTGTGGATAGGTGGTCAACATTTGAAGAGGAAGGTCCCGAGGCAATTCTCCATACTCAACGATCTGAATAGGTGAACATTATCTGAATAAGATAGCAGAACTGTGTAAGGGATTGACACGAGACCGATATAAAAATGGAAAAGTTTAGGGTTAAATTATCTACTCCCTGACAACATTGTGGTTCTTTCGTTCCTATACCACCCTTTTCGAACAACACTGAAGTGTTTCCTCAAAGGAACTTCTTCTTCCACCACCTATGGGATCGTAGCAAATAAAAATCGGAAAGAAAGGAGTTTTGAAAAGGTTCATTTTGAAAGAGAAAAACTCGAATATAAGCATAATTTATAAAGTCTTCGGGCGTTGATCGATCCCGTCTAAGGAATGCGCTCCGCATCCGAATTCCATTCAGAAGGGGGTGGTGGCGTAATGAATGTGTGTTACCCGTACAATGACTTGCAGTAGCCAACCGATGTACAAGTCAATGTTTTTATCCTCCAAAACGAGTCTGGTACTAATTAACCGACCCTGGAGGGATCAAAGGCCTGGTTGGCTTAGGCGGATATCGATAGAGGATTCGAACCCGTCACCATGCGTGGGCGATAGTGCGCCATTTGCCATTACACCACCTCCGCTCAATTCAACTATAATATTTAATTTATTGGGTATTGCTCTCAGGCGTAAAAAGCTCAAGAATTCGCACGATCGGTTTGGTGTTTCGATTTGGTGCTGAGTGTAAAAATGTAAGCCTTCCAATGAATAATGTTATAAGCAATGCCAGTGATTGTGAAGTCGATTCCAGGGGTTTCAGAAATCATTCCCTGCGAAATATTGTCCTGGGTTCGCCTTAGGACAGAAGATGCCAAAACCAAAATTGGCACAGATCGATGGATAAGTGCTAGGAAATGGGAGACGGGCCCTTGTATCGGTCAATGTCAGCTACCTCAACCTTCGACCGGTACAGCCACTCCGCACCAAAGGATACCAGCATAGACTTTCTCATCAAGAAATCCTCTTTTTGGGTACGCCCCCACATTTGACTTCTACTCGGAGCCGTAGTCGCGTTCTAAATGCGTAAGTGACCTCCGCAATGACTAGCGCTGGCCATCTGATGTGCAAATCAGTGATTCTATCTCACCAGCCAAGCCTGACATCAATTAGCTAACCCTGAAGGAATAGGAAGATACAATAGTTGGATTAAGCAAGTATCGATCCAGGATTCCCGGAACATGCGTGTATGGTAATGCGCCACTTCCCCCTACACCACATCTGCACTAACGAAAGTTATCTCCGAGTAAAAGTCAAGCACCGATTTCAGCGTGTCATAGGATCTTTGT